ATAATAGACCCATTTCTGTAATATACTCACATATCTATATTATTGCTAATATATATTGTAATATATCTATATCACTAAAGCACTTCTGGATGGATGCAAACTGCATTTCGTTGCCCTGTACCTGTGCATGTGCAATGACAATAAAGTTGAATTCTATTCTATTCTATTCTATTCTCTGAAAGCTGGGCGCGGTGACTTGCTCTGGCTTTCTCTGACCATTAATGTTTCTTCTGACTCCAATTTGTGATCTGTGTCCAGGATGGTCGTAGCGCTGGCATGACACTGTGACCTTTGAACTCTGGATCAGTTACTTTAATACTGGAAAAGTGCTGCATTAATCCTCATTTACGTTTGACCTTTATACCCATCTACGAATTTGTCACCAGCAGTAGCTGGTTGTTGTTATGCTCGACTTCACCTAAACTGGACCGGTATTAGCCGGTGTCTGTTGCTCCCATACAGACTAATTACCACGCTAGCTCAGCTGATAAGTCAACACCTGCACAATGTTCAGGTGTTGTCCTGGCAACGGAGAGGTCACTGCAGCTGCATCTGTCCAACATCTGTCTGAGTCTGACAGACAAACACTGCTGTCTGCAGGTCAGCACGCCGGCCCATAAACCATCAAGTCCCACAGCAGGGAGCCACACACACAACCACACACACACACATACACACACACTGTATCACAAACACACATACGCACACTTTAACACACACACACACTGTAACACACAGATTGTAATACACACACACAGACACACGTGCAGGTGTTGTTGCCTGTGAACAACCATCCTGTCATCACAGCAGCCATCACTAATTAGCTGCATCACCACGGTAACAACACTGCTAGCTCATTAGTGACAGGCTTAATTAGATAGTGGAGGGGGGAGAAGCGGGGGAGGACTGAAAGAAAGAATCAGGAAGTGAGAGATTGGAAAAGGAAATGCAGGGAGGAGAGAAGAATGAAGGGAAGAGAAGTCATATCTGAGAGAGACGGGAGGGAGGAGGACTTCCTGTTATGGGCGGCAACAGGAAGTAAGGCTCCATTTTCTATGCTGACTGTACAACACACACACACACACAGCTGAATGTGTGTCAGAGAGGGTTATCAAGGACGTATATGGCAGGGGAATTTTCTCTGGCTTCATGAAGTTGTTGTCATGGCGTTAGAAGTTCCTCAGGGCACGCTGCTGGGCCCACTCGTTACACTCAGATGGAAAATATAAGCACTATTAAGAAAACGGTCAAGGTCAAGGTCAAGGTCAGATTTATTTATATAGCACATTTCCAACAGCCTATGCTGCACAAAGTGCTTAACAATAACAATAAAATTAAAAACAACAGTGTAATACAATAATAACAATAGAAACAATAAAATAAAGGAATTGAAACAATACTAACTAATTCAGATAAATCCAAAATGCTTGGGTCATAATGTGTTAAAAGCCAGAGCATAAAAGTGTGTCTT